GAGTGCAAAGAAGTGAACAAAACCTCTTTTTTATGAACTTTATTCACAATTTTTCTTCAAGAGCGCGGAATTGAAATTTTCACTGATGCAGACTGTCTTCGCTGTGTTAAATGGTACGGTGCATATACAGACGACGGATGACGACACAACATCCCTCCAGAAAGTGGGTCAAACGAAACCAGTATGCCTAAAGGCACTGCCCTATTTGGCCTTACCTCTTCCGAGGTGAAGTCCTCAGCGGACTGTTGTGATTCCGTGGTCAGTTGATGCCCTATTCTTTTCACTTCAAGGCGTGCGCTGACGGCGAAAATATCTTCCCGTTTCACTTGTGATGTTCTTCTCTATAACATCAAGTTTCGGAGATGTGAAAGGTTCCTCCGATGGCATCAATAGTTGCCACTTCCAGCAGTTTACGTACCATTGTTCCGCCCGTCTCTTTGCGGGCTCTGTTTATTTGTTTCACTGGTTAAGGCTGCTGTTGATTAACGGCACTTGTGGCTCGTATAATCTGCCATGTCAAACGTGTATAATCCAGTTTCCACTCAAAAAAAACTTTCAGCAGCTTGAGGAGCGACACTGGAAGATGCCCCTTTAAAACGAGATCGCCGCCACCTAAGCAGTGAGCACTAGAGGGTAAAAATGATCACTGTTCACTGAAGCACCCTTAGATGCTAATCTTCCCCATACGAAGTTTGGCCAGCTGCTCACAGATTCGTCTAAACATTCTATAGGGCAAAGTTGAAACTGTCCAGTGATCCATCACGACCACTCGCGAAGTCCGCGGATACAGTGTCAAGATCGTAAACCTGCAACTGCGTAGAAAATCAATGCAGCCGTACTAGAAGCAAGGTGTGTGGATCTCTTGGAGGCCACTCCCCTGCTCCTGGCACGGAGGGTGCCGTGACTGATGATGAGAACAACGAGACACGAAAAGCCAACGAGATGGATGAGACATATACTATAAGGGCGTGTGGTGTAGTGGTATCACGTCTGCTTTGCATGCAGAAGGCCCCGGGTTCGAACCCCGGCACGTCCAGTCTTATAGGCTTAGGAACATCAACTCTAACAGTGTTGTTAGTGAGCGTTACTTACAGTATTGTTACACTATCCTTCCTCTCACTCAGCGGAAGGCTATTACAGTGTGGATTTGATTGAGCAAGTGATGGTTCCAGGGGTTATGACTCCATGGCGAGCGATGCTAAGTCATTGTTCGAGTCACTCGCACTGGTTTCCCCCCTCATTCATCGTAATATCTCAATGGAATGATGTATTGCATGCCTTACAGTGATTTTACTTTGCGCCAACTGGCATCTCCTTCTATATTCCCTCAATCAAACGTCTATTACAGTGTCCACACTGTAATAACTTCTGCTCCACCGTAACTACCCAGGCTTCTGGATTCAACCAGTTCACTACCCAGTCTCAGCATTGCATTCAATTCCAGCAAACTTCTACTTAACAACCCATTACGGTCGTCTGTAAAACCCAGCAGGTGCCCGTTGCCTAACTCCCAGACCATCAACTACTCACAATGCTATCTTCTCAACGGGCCGAGTCATTGCTAGGATTAGTATTATACCACATATATCATCATGAACATTACGGTATCATAGCATATTCGAAAATATCATCATTTAAGATTAACTATCGAGTTATCGTATACGGCGACAGTGTCGCATTAACCTTAACTCGAGGACATTCGAATACTCTGTTTCGGTTGTTCTCCAGTTGTGGCGGATAGAGACGACTTCGTTCGTGAAAATACACGTAATGTCGCGCGGTTCATTGCTTTGGCGAGAAGGATGTAACTGTACCATATTCTTCTCTCTTTTCCATTCGGTTGAATGGTTGAGGACCGTAAAAAACCTTAACTCTGACTTATATGCGATCCCTACACCTATACTTGCGCTGAAGTACTCCCACACGACGACTCCGACGACCTCTACCACGGAAAGTCTCCACACGAACAGACAGTTTATATCGTCTCTAGGCCTTCTTCGGCCCTACGGCTCTGCGACGCCAAGTTCCGTAGTTGTTGTTCGTTGTTACTGCAGTTCAATCTCATCCAACAACCATTCATACAGAAACGTTGCCATTACTCATCGAAAACACCAAGCATATCAGCAACAAGGGCCACGCCATACCCACTAGCGCGACCCTCTTTCCACGTAACAGGGAATGCCATATCGATATGCAAAAACGACGGCACGCTTCTTCCCTCGCAAGCCGCTCTAAGGTTCTCATACACAAACCAACCCGCTGCTGACACCGGCGCGTCCGTCCTCGTTTTCACCTGAGAGCAAAAAATTCTCTTCCGAGAATTTTCCAAATCCCATCCTACTGAGTTCGTGAGATCAGCAACTTCGCTTTTGAATTGATCTTTGTGTAGTTCCGGACAGAAAATGAGCGGATGAACTAAATCTCCCGTCCTCCTCCCCGAAACCACCGCCCTCTTTTCCAACTCCTCATCGTTGGAGGCAATCGCCGCATGCAGATGGCCCGTAGCATACCCCGACGCGCCCGTGAGAGTTGCCATATCAATAACAACCTCTGGATTCAAATGCCTAGCAGCATAGGCTACCCCATCAGCGAGTAGGAGCCTTCCTTCAGCATCAGTGTTGTTGATCTCCACGCTGAGACCAGAATACATCGAAATGACGTCATCAACTCTATAGGAAAAAGGCCCGACGGCATTCTCAGCGAGGCACTCGACGAGATGCAAAGGCTTGCCGTTATTTCCATTACATTCAACCGCAGAAATGAACGCTCCCAGTAAACCAGCAGCACCTAAACAGTCAAGTAGGGAGAGCAGCAGACCACCACACTAACGACCCAGGTTCAAACCCCATTACCTCCCATATCCGTTTTCATTCCCCGCATATTCTCAGAGCTCTTCAGTGAAAGTCCGCCCGAATCAAAGGTCACTCCCTTCCCCACCAACACCGTACTCGAGTCACCTTCTTTCGCTCCCTCGGGATACCACGAAAGTCTCAACAGCACCGGCGGGCTCTCCGCAGACCCCTTTCCCACGTTCCAAATTCCCCCAAATTTTTTCTCGCCAAGTTGCTTGCCCTCGATCATTTCACATCTAACATCGTGCCCAGACCTCTTCAGCTCACACGCTATCTTCTCACACACCGATGCAAACGAAATTGGATTTACACAGTTCGGAGGCAAATCCACCAAAGCGGCCGCACTCCTAATATTCTCCCCCACAACTGCAATTTTTTCCCTCATCCCAGTGGGAATTTCACCACACATTTTACTCCACAACGTTGTACTGATCTTCCCACTCGTCCCCCCATACAAAGGAGCCGCTCGCGCTACTGCCAGGCCACACGCGATCAAATCCTCCTCTTTTTCAGCGACCGCAAATACCCTTGTCGTTCCCCCACCGCACATACTACCATTCTCGCCCAACATTTTCGTCACTTTATCCGCTCTCGCCGAGTTCGTAAACCTCGAAAATTCCTCGGGAACTTTCAGCACTACAACTTTAGTAAATTCTCCATCACCACTACGGGGCTCCAGTGACACCGTACTCGTCAGAGGAGTGCCTTTCCCCCTATCCTGAGCCGCAATAAACCTCTCGAGATGAGATTTCACCATAGTAGGGGCGACCGGCAAGAACCCCTTCAAAGCGCCCATTTGGCCCACCACACATGCCGTGTCAACCTCCCCAGAAGTGTCACCACCAAACTCAATTTTCTTGCGACTACCAAACACAACGTCGTTAATTTTCGCGATTTCTCGCGAGTAGTCCACAGACCCTCGAAACTTTGCTCCTTCGTTAATCTACATCAACAAAAAAATATAATTTTTTTTCTTTCCCGGAGACCAGTGCTGCAAAATTATATGTTCGTTCTTCTAATAAGGGTAGAAATGTGCAGAAAACTTTGCAATTTTCCCAAAATTTCCTCACATTTTCCATTTTGTCACCAAAACACGTACATGACCATACTGCCTGAACTATACGAAATTCACCAATATTTTATTTCCCCCCCCCCAAAACTGCACGAATAGCCGCTATCAAAACCTCCTCAAAACCCCCACCCTTCCTCAATACTACCGCGACTGCCGCCAGAGACGCCATCGTGCGTTGAAGTAGAAGAACTGGAGATCTCCGCAACACCGCGATGCTCATTTAAACACAAGAGTGAAACGATCAAACTTTTAATACCGTAAATCCGTCACATCCTAAGAAAGAGTACGCCGACCAAAATTCATCCAACTACGTCGTTCACATTGTAGACAACAACTCCATTTCTGGTAACACAATGTGCGGACTGCCTGTTCCGCATGATTTTCCGAAGGGGACAGTTCCAAGCTCAACAACGGTAATTGGAATCTATCTATATAGTTGAACTGCGTAACAGTATTTCGAATGCCGGTGCTTCAAAGAGCCTATGTTATATGTAAATAATAGAGCTACACTATGAATACTAACATACGTAAAACATAATATTTTATCAATCCACTAGTTATATTTTTGGAGTTTCACCTTAGTGACATGGTAAACACTAGTGAGAACACATTTTACGACTACTACAAGCCGCAAATATCGCGTTTTTCACCGAGTTTTACGCCACTTCACGTAAAACGGGTGATTTAACTCCATTATACTGTTTCTAGCTAACAACAACATGCCCTTTCCCTACACTTATAATCATAAGTTGACAACACGCAGCACACAATGCCTTCTACATACGACAACAACGCTTCACACGCGACAAAGTGCATACCAGTTTCAAGTGAATTCATCAATATTATAATATTCAACTCTCACACAGAATTCTCCCAAGTTCCTCAGAATTCAACCATGTACATATTTCCCCAAACTACCACGAGAATCCAAACATCATATCCCGATTGTATGCACTAAACTCAAAATCACAACTCCTCAACTACATATTCATCACAACTGTCATCATGCCACATTCAATGTCCACCCCCAGCAGCAACAGTATTTCCCTCGTCTTCCCCCCAACTCCACGGTTTTCCCGTACCTATCCGAAAACCCTTTTTCTAAATATTAAACATTGGGTTTTCATACTCTGTGAAAAAAAACCCGATATTCGTGAAATATGGGTTTCTTTACTGTTTTGTCATATCACTAGGGTGAAACTCCATTATCATACATAAATATATAGTAACAATCATCTTGATATACATTAGACTTTCACCCTAGTGATATGAAAAACACTAGTGAAAAATATATTTCACGACCACTGCATATCACCGCGAATATCGCCTTCGTCACAGAGTATCACGCCACTCCACGTAAAACGGGTGATTAAACTCCATTATAAATATGATTTCCCAACAACAACAACAACAACAACAACAACAACAACAACCCCGACTTCCCCAATACTACAGTTTTGAATCACCACCAGAATATACTCCGTATTAGCAACAGCGATAATCTCCGTCCCCTCCTTAGTCCTCATCCTGAAGTTAGTCAACTCCGAGTCGTTGCCACCTCCCACATAAGCAATGGCCGCCATCTGAGGGGAAAATTCCAATTTTTCCCCTCGGAAAAATCCAGAAATTTAATTTTTCACCGAGAAAACTCCAACAAAATTCAGAGAAAATCATAAGCTATGTTGAAGTTAAATGTTATATGCATAACCGTTGTAAATAACAAGGAGCGATAAATTCACTCCGCAGAAAACCGCGCGATTTTTTCCCGCCAAAGTCGCCAACAGATGCATCGATGGTCTCCCAACCTCATATGTATATAATTTCATTCATACAAAAATCGCAAAAAAATATCAACATATTACCATTAAAAAGGAATAATGAAAAATCATAAGAGTAAAAATCATTCTTACACATACCACTCCACGTTCACAAACCCAGCTAGAAGTATTCATAAAATTCACCACCGATTCTTTTCACTCGACAAATACCAACATCGAAGTTATTTTCGCATATATACAATTCTCGAATGAAAATCTCAACAAGGCCATAACCAAAACTGTTATCGCGCTTAGAATTCTACCGATAAAAAACCCGTTGAAAAAAAAACTATCATTGCATCTACAATTTATTTTAAGAATACACTCTTCCTCACTTACCCCAGCTGCCCTAGGAGGCCCCGACTGTAGCAAATCTCGCATGCAATCTTTCGCCTTTATATAGAACTCAGAAATCAGCTGCGCATACATCACCGCTTTCTCATAGGGCATTCCTGAATCAATGTCGGAATATATATACCTTCGTTTCTTCAGCTGAGCTCAGGGGTTTCATCACTGTATTATGAAAATTTACACGCAATTTAGAGTAGAAGTGTCGACATGTAAATGTGGAAAAAATGTAAGTTATTCTCCGAAATCAATCAGAATCGACCCGAAACTATATCGCAAAAACGAAATCAATATTGCTATGAACATGTGATGTGATAAAAGTAGCCGCTTAAACTGTGATAGCGACAACTTGTTCACTATCATTAATCCCGGAATACTCACAATAAATGGCATTTCAAACTTATCGAAAAATAACAATAACTCTCCCAGAATCTCCATTAGTAATTATGTCATAATAAAGTATATACTAATCTAGGACTCACCCGTTTTACGCGTAATACTCTGCGAAAAACGCGATATTTGCGGTATGCAGCAGTCGCAAAATCTGTTTTTCACCAATGTTCTCCATATCACTAGGGTGAAACTCCATCATTACGATAACATGAAAAGAACATAAAATATACAAATAACTCCTCAAAACTTTCATACCGAATCTGACTGGAAGTCTTCAAAATTCAATATAATCTCACCCACCGCACACCAGAACAGTGAAAATTACGAAATCAGTCCCACCCAAATTTCCTCCGTGAAGTCACCGCGTACATTTTTCAACACCCCTTCCCCCTCTACTACGCTCATGTTGCTTAACCGGAATCCCGTCCGAATTGAGCACTACATAGCCGATAACTGTAGGGTCATCAGCAATCTGGTGGATGAGAGTGTCAACGTCAGACATGATGAAAAAACTTCCAACTGCAATTTTCCCATACCCCTACTCAGTGTGAGAGAAATATATGATCGCTTTGCTCAGCCGAGCTCAGGAGTTTACATGTGAATTCAAGTCCGATATTCAGAAACCAATCCGAATTCCACAAAATTTCCTCAGGAGTTTCATATTGACACCGACACATAAAGTTGACCATGTGCACAATTCTCCCGTCATTCACCGCTATTATAACATCAACAATCAAAACTCAGTCCACTACAACGACTATTCGACGCTAAAAAGGTTGACAACATTTACATAATTACAAAATTACAAGTGAATAAATATTATAAACTTCTCCACAAATATTCCCCACTTTAAATGTGAGAAAAATGCCACTAGAAAAGACCGAAAATTCTACCCGAGAAAACCAAAACCTCTTCAACAACTCCTACTACATAACCGCGATTGCGAATCTCCTGCCAAAAACCATTACAACGCCCAAAAGCACTCGGCAAAACATATTTCCGAAACTGTCAAGTAAATGAGTAATTACCACCAGTGTGAAAGTCCGAATTCTCCACAAGTGATCGTTCTTCGAGAAAATCAATTTCCCCCATCCAGGAGAAACCACCATAAATCACTATTGACAAAGTAGCTATAACTCCATTGTAAAAATACATTGGAGTTTCACCCGTTTCGCGTGAAGTGGCGTATTATTCGGTGAAAAACGCGATATTCGCGGTGATATGCAGTAGTCGTGAAATGTGTTTTTGTCATATCACGGTCGTGAAACTCCATCATTCTACCACGAAATCACCCGCCTTCCGAACACAACGCTCTCAAGCAGAGAAATGCTAATGTACCATATTTCCCCCATAATTCGCGTCAACTTCCATGCACATCCCTCCCTTCCTAATTATAACCTCCTCCTCCTCCTCCTCTTTTTCCTCCTCTCCAAACGTGTCAATTCTCTACGCCATTTTAACACCAAAAACTTCAACACCTACCTTTGAAACAGTAACAATGCGTTTAGCTCTGCAACAAAATCGTGGGAAAAATAAATTAAAACACTAAAAAAACAAAAAATCACCTGCAACAAAAATTAGTAAAAATACTTCAAAATCTACTACCCTAAAAACACATTTCTACCACAAAATCACCCGCCTTCCCAACACAACAACACCGCTTATAGAAATGCTAATGTACCGTTTTTTCTTTCATAATTCGCGTCAACTTCCATGCACATCCCTCCCCCTTCCTAATTATAACCTCCTCCTTTTCCTCTTCCTGCTCTCCAGTCTTATAAATTCTCTGCAGCATTTCACCAGCGTTGTCAATATGAACGGCCCTTTGCACTCGTTATGCAAAGCCAACACGACTACGTCCAAATCCTCGTCATCTCCCAGGGAGCCTCTGAGAGGCAAACAGTGTGGGAAATATGCGCATACTCGATATCAAAATTTCAATGAAATTTTCCTAACAAAAAATAATTTTTATAGGGTTTTTGTACACTCCTACCGAATTTGTATGCGAGGAATTCCGCATTGGAGAAAAATACATTTCGAATCATACCAGACAAATCAGCCCGTATCACGTAAAACACATCACATGTTCTGCACCTTATTTTTCAACCTACGCAAAATTAAAAGTGTTTTTCACATTACAGATAGTAAACTCGATAGCGCGTCATCTCCCAAACTCTCATCAGAGAACAAGTCTTGGAAAAATATATATTCCCTTTCCTCAGCTGAGCTCAGGAAATTCCTCGCTAATTACATACAAATTCGAGTAGAAGTGTACAGAAACCAACGGTAATTTTCCAAAATTTCCCCAGAATTTTCATATTATCACCAACACATGTAGTTGACGTGTATACTTTCCCACTCTCCGTTACTACTCTCCTTCCTCGTAATCAAGACTGTCTTTTAAATTCACACTTTCTCCGACACCAGCGCCGACATCAGCAGGGCGAACCTCACCTTTCGATGGAGAATCAACTATGGGCATTCTCCACGACGACCAATCTAGTGCAACCTGAAAATGAGCACATTACGTGAAGTGGCGTAATACTCTGTGAAAAACGAGATACTCGCGGTGATATGCAGTAGTCGTGAAATATATTTTCATATCATCAATAAGGTGTATACCATAATTTAATCTACACATTATGAATGAATAAATAGATAATGAACTATAACATATAACAATATTCAATATTAAGAGCGCGTTGTGAAAAAGGAGAATGTAATATTCCGTATCACTAGGGCGAAGCTCCAATAATACATACTTATTTTTCAAATCTCCCCTATTACCACTTCATTGACATCAACTTTTCCCGCTCGGTATTTCCCATATTCCTCCATCCTTACCGGACCTTCCTCAGGAATGCATCTACGTTGTATTGGGGCCAACCAAAACACGTCAACTTACCGTGACTGAGCTGAAATCGTCGCTGGTGGCGACATCTTGCCGAACATCAACTCTGGAGAAGCCTGAGACCAGTGTGGAAAAGTATGCATATGATCAACTCCATGTGTTGCTAGAAATATTCAAGTTCTGAACAAAATTGTATAAGTGTGATACCAGTGTAGGAACATATGCACACTATCAACAACATACAATATAAAAATCCAGAAAATTTTGGAGAAATTTCCGTTAGTTTTTTTTGTCTTTTCGAGGTCGTATATGTTTACATCCATAAAATATGCTGCGAGTGTTGGCAATAATATGAAAATTCTGTAAAAATTTTGGGAACTATTTCTTACTTTCTGCACACATGTATATACTCCTATCCGAGCTGAGGATAGCAAACATATATTCCAACACTCTCTGAGGCAACCTTCCCATTCAATGTGGTGAGAAAATAAGCACACAGTCAACCACATGTGAAAATTCTGGGGGAACTTCAGAAAATCCTTATTGCTTTCTCTACACCTCTCCCCCGATTCACAAGTAAATTTTTATCACTAGTGAGAAAATTCATATATTCACTCAACAACTCGAAAACCCACCTGTACTCCACTTGGAGAAGTTGCCGGACTTGAATGAATCGACCCCCGAGTTGATCGCGGTAAAGATGGCACTGGTGATGGACAACAATTCTGAAAATTCAACAATTTCAATTTGTACTGTAATGATATATTGGAGTTTCACCCTAGTGATATGAAAAACACTAGTGAGAAAACATATTTCACGACTACTGCATATCACCGCGAATATCCGCGTTTTAATGGAGTTTTACACCATTTCACGTAAAGCGGGTGATTTAACTCCAATATATGCGCTCTAACTAAGCAATTGCATCTTTTCATGCTCAGCCAAGTATCGCTTATTAGAATATGTGTTGTTACTTGTCCTCATACAGACTACCTTGTATTTCCCATTTGAAAATAAAATACCAAAATCTTCCCAACTCACCCGATTCTTCCACTCAGGAAGCGAGTACACCGTTTTCCTTATAATTCTCATCACAGCTTCCTCAATCGTGTCCAACCGTACCACTCCACCCCGAAATTCTCCTAAATTCATGTAATGCAGTTTCACCCTTTCTAAATGAGGTGGAGTTTCACGACCGTGATATGGAAAACACAAGTGAAAAATATATTTCACGACTACTGCATATCACCGCGAATATCGCGTTTTTTCACCGAGTTTCACGCCACTTCACGTAAAACGGGTGATTTAACTCGAGTGAAAACCCCGATATTCGCGATATGTTTTCACTAGTGTTTTTCATTGAAAAAGCTCTGTGAAAATATATCTCACGAATACGAAACATTCCTACAAGTTTATTTTTTTGCATTGAAAATTTTTCATCAATTTTACGAGTTTTTTTTCATATCACGGTTGAATCACACAACCATTACTACTCTTCCTATATTCCTTTCCAGTACCCATATAAACCAACAACAGCGCCTGTAACTCTTCCAGTGACACAAGACCACACGCAGTGAAGTCCCTCAAAATTGCTCTTCTGTGGAGGCAATGTCGCAAGCCGTTTGGCTGGACCTATTCTGCATCATACCGCGCGTGCAAACCAATCTTGAGGAAAAATATCCCCCAATTTTTTTATAATTTCACCAACACTCAATTCACTATAACATTCAGCTGTGCTTATATTGTTCCCTTTCCTCAGCTGAGCTCAGCCAAGTTTCCTCACTAACTATACGAGTTTATAAACGGGTTCAAGGACCACCAACAATTTCCCAAACTGCCAAACACATGTACAATACATACCAAATTGATATGCAAATGTTGAAGTTCCTATTCCGAGATTAATGATAGTGAACAACTTGTCGCTATCATACTTTCACACCGTTATTTTCATCACATCACATGTTCATAGCAATAGTTTCAGATCGACTCTCATAAACTCAGGAGAATATCCGAGCACCCTCCGAATAGGCCAGCCTATCCGTGCACGCGTGCACATGCTATCGATCATGGATGCCTTTGATATTATCGATCTCGTTTCTAGCCTAAATTTTACGATGATCAATTTCGTTCAAGAGGTTCACCTTCATATAAGGGATCATAAAGCACTTAGATTTACATTCTTTGACACTCTGCGAACATTAACGCACATTTTTTCACATCAACATTGCATCAACTTCCCACCAACACATGCAGTTGACCATGCGGAAACCCTCCCCATTATAACCTCAGATTCATTCAAATCCGCCTCCAAAATCGCCTCTGCCAACGTCGTCGCCACTTCCTCCACTGAGTAACTCTCCTTACTGACCTTACTACCAGGCACCGGAAACTCCGGTACATTGTAGGGCACATCCTCCGTTCTCTACCATAAACCCATCAAATCACAACCACCCCAACAACAACAACAACTCACTTCAACAAATTGGGTTCTCGTCATCACTATAGGTAGTCTATGCATTTTCGTGCACTCCCTCAGTGCCTTAGCCGTGGGGACCACAATACAAGTAAACACTTCCTGTTTATCACTCAGTGCTAACCCCGCTGGCCACAAGTCCAACCTCGAGAAGAGTCATATCACTATACAGAACTACATGTGTTGATAACAATATGAAAATTTCCCAAAAAATTTTCTCGGTTTTTTTACACTTCTACCAAGTGGTGCGTGAATTTTCATGATGAACTCCTGAGCTCAGCTGTGGAAACCAAACACATACTCCAACATCACAAAGTTGCTACTACCCCAATTTCTACAATTCCAATCTACAAAAAAAACAAATAAAAGTGACAGTTTGGGAAACTATGCATATACTCAACTACATATGTTAGTGACAATCTGAAATTTCGAGGGAATTTCGTAAAATTTTCCTTGGTTTCTACCCTAGAAGCTCTAGAAACTGACCAGAGCTGCATTTCCCCCACGTCTACAAATCAGTATGGAATTTGTAAGAACACCAAGGATATCCGAATACATATTCCAACTACTCTACCTCAAAAATCTACCACTTTCACATTCAACACTGTTTAATTTTGTGGTGCGTCACAAATCAGAGAGGCTCTCTTTTCTATACATAACAAAATAAATATCCTACAAACTAAAAAGTCTGGAAATCTTACAATAGATCTTAGAGAGTTTCCTCACCAACTGCGCAAAATCAACCTAAAATTTTCATGCTATTCTTGCCAACTATGTGCATATTTTTCCATACTCACTCGTCAATCCGCTCCCTAAACACGCGCTCGCTGATTCCTCCCCCGTTCGAAAGTCTCCCACTTTTTTCCTGAGCCCAAAACATCGCTTCTCCCCCCAGCGCGAACCCACCCAAATAAACTTGTCATATAAGGTGCCGAAGTCGACTTCATTTTCCTCTCTTGCGCTCCACCACTCCTCTACGTGCTCAACGAGTCGTCTCAAATTATTCTCCACACGGCGTTTATCGTAATACCTGTGAATTCACCTCAATGGAGTTAAATCGCGCTCATATGCAGTGTTTTTCATATCACTAGGGTTTCATTTTCCCAGTGCCCAACGGTAATATGTCACACACCCATTCCCGCCCTTTCCCACAACTACCCCACAGTAGAATAGCTCCCTTCCAACACAGGGGCGAGGATATGTCGAGTCAGTCGGTTGCCTCTCCCACCTGAATTGAAAATCACCTACACCCATTTCACAACGGCAACTACATGTGGCAGTGACAATATGAAAATTTTGGTAAAACTTTCTGTACATTTCTACCCAAATTCGTATGTTAATTCCTACAATTAGTGAGGAAACTCTGCTGAGCTCAGCAGCTGAGGAAAGTGAGCATATATTCCTACTCCAATGACAGAAACACACTAGTGAAAAATATATTTCACGACTACTGCATATCGCCTCTTTCACCGAGTTTTACGCCACTTCACGTAAAACGGGTGATTTAGCTCCATTATTCACAACTCTCAATCCTATACACGGGTAATCAATGTTACGCCCACTCTAACACTAATCTAAAGGCATCGTATGGTAGTTGTAATTTCACCAACTCCCTTCTTGAGGTCTTCGTGACGAAGGAGCGAAGCTCACTTAGTCCACGTCTATCGATCAATAGAATTTTACATAGGTCCCCGGTTCGATCCCCGGGTAGGACATTTCTCTGTCATTAAAGTTTTTCGTGCATATCTCTCCGAGCTGTTCGCATAATCGAGTATTCCGACTTTCCCAAAAACCTCCGCATATAGGGGAGTCGTTTGACCTATCTGATAGCCTCTTGTGCTTCTTAGTTAAGCCAGAATAATTCTGCACGCACGCACAACGCGAAAGTGCCTGTTGTTGCGGTATATGCTCCGCAATTTCCACACCGTTACTAAACCCCGACTACTACCTGGAGCCAACTTTTCCAAAGCCGCTCGTATGCCAGCCGGAACACTTAGGCTCTCATCAAGCCACTCATCGTTTGAACTCAACAACCTGTCGCTTCTCCTCTGCCACAAATGAGCTCCCGACTGAGCCGCCGTAGCAGGAGTAGTAGATATAAATGATGATGATGGGAACTGGATAGGGCCACTCGTCTTAAGAGACTACAAAGGGAAGACTTAACCCCGACATTCCCAAAATTTTCATATTCTCATCAACACATGTATATTCCACACTGTTTTCTCTAAGCTGATGGCATTGTTAGTAGTGGGGAAAAACTACCTTCATGATAGAAGTTCTTTTTACAGTCATTTCAGGAGGCAAATTTATCTCTCGCGTGGTGGTGATACGGTTAAAGTCGGTGTCTGGTCGGCGGCTATTGGCAACTTTTTTGCGCTGCATTGCGTCATCGTGTCTCCACTTTTATTATAGATTCTTAGGCTAGAGGTAGTCTTCCCCACTACTACCAATGCCATCAATCAGATACGCACATGATCAACTATATGTGGTGGCAACCATATGAAAATTTGAGAAAATTCTATAAATCTGGTCTGTGTACACTTCTACCCGAATTCTATAGTAATTATAGTATAATTAGTGAGAAAACTCCCGAATTCAACTGAGGGAAGCGAACATTTTTACTACTAAACGACTACTACCTGATCCAACGCTGGCATCTTCATGTGATAACTACGCACTGGCCTATACATAATCGGACCACAGGTACTAGGTACAGCTACCGGGGGTTGAACCGGAGTCACCTAGTTACCAACACACACTTCTACCACTACACCAACAATACTACCAGCGTTCTAAACCCAACTGCGGGAGTGTTATACGCTAGACTAGGCGTTGTCAACGGTGCTCTATACCGCTCCACCGGCATCACAGTTCGAGGCGCCTGAAGATCCTCATCATAATATAAGAAAATCTAATTCGTTCTCTCCCCTCACTGGAAGTCTCGGTGACACTATAGGGCTCCTCGGCAACTGTCTATTCACAACCACCGGAGATCTGAGCTGCACTGCATAACCCTCCTTAATAGGGTTCAATTGAGTCCTTGTATACAACGGCTGCGTCAAAGGTCGGACCGTAAAATCTGATAGAAAAACCGTGAAAACAACTCAACTACCTTTTCCAATGCTTACAATTCACTTCCGTTTCCGCTCGGCGAGTGGGCATCGTCGGACCTGCACAACACCAATATTCTCTAATCTTTGCCCGCCAAGGACCCTATCATGACCAGCGCTCAACGACGATCTCGACAACTATCCCACTACACTTGACGAACATACCAAAATTCGACGATAACTATGCAGGGTCTTATCAATTTGATATTATCAAAGCCTGATGCGTAGTTAAACAGATCGTCAGACTCCGAAGCTCGCAGCCTCACACGAACTATCATCAAACACAAACGATGAATCAAGCAACGACACAATATGTGGTCGTTAAAAGGCATCCAATATCTCTACTACGCCGAACTTAAGTAGTCCAAAATTCAGGCAGGTTACCGTAAATTCCAAAACAGATCATAAAGCAAGTTTCTAGAATATCAGTACCAACCTTCCTACAACTCACCCATCATTTGGTGTCCATGCGATTTCACCGTCACAGTTCGATACGATGGGAGCACCGGAGAGGCCGAGCCGCCATAAATAGTCATTGCTGGTAGTAAAATAATCACCCTCTGCTCAAAGACAAATTGCGCCTTTGATTTAGCGCTCGCCCAAAAATTCGGCTCAACAAATGGAAACAGGTCGCGGAAACACCAACACATGAAATTTATAGTTACTTTGCCTTTTTCGCCAAGTCCCATAGTATCTGATGGAAAATAAAACAAATGTCGCGCGCCACAAAATTACCCCTACCAGTTGCGCTGCATTCTTCCCCGGAGTGCCCATCACTCCTCCGCCAGGATGAGCTCCAGCTCCGCAAAGATACCTATCAAAACATAATCGACGAGGAAAAAACTCCGAAAATGTCGATTTTTCACGCACGATTGTAGGGCTTACAGTCCATCCAGCGGAGTCCTGGCGTTCGGACGAGTGTATCCTAGCTGATGCAACATCAACGCACCATGAAAGATATTTCCCTTATGGAGACCGAACTCATGCTCGAGTGTGAGTGGAGTTATAACCTGTCAAAGAACGGCGCACGTACTACGCTTTTTCTACACTAAATTTATACCAGATACCCAGTTTATTCATGGTCCTCGGGTGAAAGTAAGTTCCAATAACATATTTAGTTCACTGAGGACCCGTAAAGGCTTCCAGTGTACCAGTAAAAACGATTATATTTTTCCCTAGACCTCCGTGACATGTCACGAAAACAAACACTGATAAATGCGAGACTATTACACTACATGAACAGTACATATCGTATTATTATGAGTCTTCGACTATCATCAGTTGGCAACGTGTCAGCAATACTCGCGCACATGCGCCCCCGGCTGGACCAAGAAGATGATGGCGATACTCTGTTGATGAGGAAGCCACTTTCTGATAGCGTGGACGCGACTGATACTTGATTGACGTCTTGCCTCTGATGCGCTATCATATCCTTGGCGAGTACAGTGTACGGCATCAATACCGAGGACATCCAGCCTTCCTACTGCTGCATTTGCTATCCCTTCCGGACGGTATCGTCTTGTTTCGTCACTGATAATACAGTAGAGCTACTCGCCAATATCATCAAAAACGCGCTTAAAGATTACCTCGGCCATTACGTTCACTACACAGTTTGGGATCTGCGAGCATGTATAGATAGCGTTACGTGAGCCGGTTAGCTAGTCTTCATAATGCTACTCTACCAAGTAAGCTTATGAGGCATGAGCTCCCACAAAGAAGTTCTGGCCCGCAGAGTCAGCTGCATGAGAGTGACCTCGAAAGACTTTATTGTGGAATGGGCAAGAAGTAAGGGCCCTCCAAACGGTTCCGATGTGGATGAGCTTCTTGTGAAGAAATAAGCTCATCGTGTTTGGGGATGACACATCTCACCCTAATTTTCCAGAGAGTCACTTTGCGAGTTCAGCTCACCCTACTCTACCTCACAAGAGCGCATGGCCAGCCACGCCACTAGCCAAGTAGGCTACTAGGACCGCAATAGTAGCATGTCTTCACATGACCAACAGTGATGGTGATATTGGTCATTCATCGGTGATGGTTCCTCATCTAAGATCATGCGATTTCATCCCGTAAACCTTACATCTTTATGAAGCACCGAGTTGGCAAAATTAGGATCATACTCGTGAATCACACCGAAAACCCTCTCGACGAAACGCTCCACGAAGCCCGGATCGGCCCAAGAGCCATGGTTGGGATTTACATCGTAAGGAGCGTATCTAAGATACAACGAAATTCGTCGAACAAATCCGACACACTCTATTCGCAAAACTCGCAAAGACACGAAACTTCAACATCAAAAAGCATTTTTCGTTGCCAATGATGCACGTGAACGATGGTAACAGCCACCGAATGCTTCACTAATGAGTCCGTCACTGATTCGAGTAGGCACCCTCAGAACTACTGCTTGCTGTAATATCTACACGGCATATATAATTCCCATGCGCACTGTTGAGAAAACCTCTCAGCCGTCATTGGAAGAGTATAGCCCATCAAGACGAACATTTCCTTAGAAAATGTCACCAACTTACTGCACGAAAAGCTGGCAAATATGATGACCAGAATTGTACGGTACCAGACTCGGATCCAACACCTATGCACATTATCGCGCCGACCAACCGTCGTTGACGGCCAACAGCAGTCCCGCTACTCACACTAGGCAGAGTCATCTCTACGACAGGTCTCATTGCTGGCAAACCCGATCGTGCCTCTTGGGCGGCGACTTCTATCTGACTGAGGGATGTCTCGAAATGGACGGTCCCTTGAAGATGCTCAGGATCAACTCCTGGTATCTAACAGGCGCACATTCACATCCTCATCAGGAAATACCAATTGCTGGAATCCATCACATGAAGATTTCTCGCAATAAAATGGATTTCAGGACGCCACGACACCGACTTCGAGCAAAGCTTTACCCGCATAGAACAGATTGAAGAGCATTTCACTATGAATCAGTGAGTCCCGAGTTGGCTTCTAACGTGGATCGAACCAACCGAGTCACGCCGACCTGGGGGAGTCTGTCAATGGCACAATTGATTTTCATAGCCCCACAAGAGTAATCAGTGAATCGTATCTGGGTAGTAAATCTATCGCCGAGACTCTTCGGCCGGTCCGAATCTGTCAAAGGCAGCAACTCCAGGAACCTGACAAGAACATCACCCTGAATACGCATGGACCATCCAGTGGACTCGCTTCTGGTCACCAGAATAGCATATGACCAGAAGTCGGCCGAAAGAATAGAGTCTTTTGCTCTCTTACGTATGCCATGGAGTCGCGTTAGATACCACACACATCTTCGCTCGCAGTTGGGTGCCGTCAATCATCTCCACACCAGTCGCTCGACTTCCATCATGGGTAATACGTTTCACCTAAGAGGCTACCAGATGAGTGTGTTTAGAACACGGTTGAAGTCTATATTCTTATCAGCGCGAAATCGCCATATTCATGGAAATTGAACAAAATTTGTTCGATTGTGAGATTTAATCTCCAAGTTCTGACTTTTCACTATCACGGTGATTACATGAGACTCTCAGTTTATCCAACGACATTCTTAGAATGCATATTTGACCCACCTGAGCATCCGTCATTATGACAGCTCCAGCTTGCATCGCGCGTTCGGCAATAGCGCTGGATATTCTACCCATGCCTCCCTCAACATATGCCCACACTCCTTGGCGGCCGTTTACGTTCCCCATCACATGATGGAGAAGAACCTATGAGCGTATAGGTTCAAACACGCCACGAAGACTTTGTGATTCAGACTGTTCTCATATAGTGATCATACTGTTTGGTACGAGCTCGACTACTTCTCAAGGCTATAGAAGCAGTCGAGCTCGTACTGTAGTATCGCTATAATATAGCACAGGACATAAACTCCACGCCATATGTCGCCACAGCTCTACTTCTACCATGTCGACCTCACGTGGAGTACTTTCGAGCGAAAAACTTACATACGCACTCCCGCAATCAGCTGGGCTCGCCATGCTTCCTATAACGGCATCCGTCGCCAACGTTGCCTTTAGAACATCCGTCTCAAACCACCTATCTAAGATCTGAGACGCTGGTCCTGTAAATAACTCGTACTGAACAGAGGAGAGAGTGCATTATAGGATATCGACATTTTTTACTACCAAATCTGGTATAGCATCGCTGTGTTTTGTCAGCCTCTTCACGGTCTTCATTATCCGCAAAGAATGGTTGACAAACTCTCGTACAGTCTTCGTGTCTGAGAGATCAGTCGACTGAGTCGACACTTCGAGGAATGCCGAGGGAGAGCATACCCGATGGCCGCATCGGAGGTCCCTGCATTAGCGGCTCTAACACTTCACGCATCTCATTGAGCAACTGCTCGTATCTAAGGGCGCTTCGCAAGATTCATTAAAGCCAGCCCACAACTTACAATGGAAAAACATGTGCGTCTCTTTGTGAAAACTCCGCGATACTTTCTATAGTCTTCTTCTGGTCACCCCACATTAATAGCGGTCTAAAGCCAACTAGATGATCCAATTAGGATCAACTTATTCTAGGCAGACCCGTTGAACAGTCAGGCTATACTCTCGCCGCCCCACTGGGAAGTTCGCAGCAACCCATAAATACTGCGCAACATATAATACTGCGTGCAGCGGAGAACAACAATGCAACTGCCGATGCACTTTCAGTGCATCTCCTCTTTGAAAGCTGTAATTCTCACCAACATAACGTCAACTCTCGAAAAAGCTCGACAATCTAACAGGTTGCTACTCGACGTGTGACTCCTATCAAGTCTGGCTGGTCAATATGTTAGTCTCAATAGCCGCCGTCGACGGCCCGCCAAGCATGATTGGATGCAGCATATAGCCGATATCCCCCGAGTGTTCTTGAGCTGCCGGCATCACGACTCTCCCGAACTGACTCGAGAAGGAGAGTAGTTCCTTCCTCCTTTGATTGGACCGCTTGAAGAGAACATAGAAGTTCTGAGTAGCGCCTTCGGAATTCGGCGAAAGGGAGAGATAGCCGGACATCGGCTGATTGATTGATAAGACCTCGCACGGACCTCACTGACGTCTAAGCGCCGCTCAGTTAACGGAATGTCGGACAATGAAGGAATCCCTGTTTCATATTCGCTAATTCGTCAAATACCTCCTGAAGCATCTATCATGGTTGAGCATCCGTCAGAGGTCCAGCTGAGCGCACAGCTGAGCGCATATTTAGGCTCGCGGCATCACGCTGGTACAGTTTGCTGATAGCATCGGCCTCAGTTCGAACATGCTGGCACGATGTGATTGCGTGTGGCACGGATTAACTGTGTGGCACGGATTAACTGGTGACATAACAGCGAGCCGGGATACCCAGCTATTGTACATCCTCAGTGAGGATTCCTCACTTCGAATGGGATGTAGAATGGCTGGTTGTACATGAACTTGCGCTCATAGGACACTGTGAACGAGTGGTAGACCCTACTAACGAGCCGCCCAAGCCAATCGGAGCAGATTGCGCTTGGCCTCAAGCTTCACCCTGCAGCTACGTCTTGTACTATAAGATGTAGCTAGTCTTGTAATAAGACACACCA